CAGGTCTCATTCCAAGCAGTCGCCACTTGTACCACCACCACCCTCCACAACAGAGCTGTCCCTTATCAAAACTTATGGCATCTCATCCTCACACCGGAGACCCCTGCAGAAACCAAGATTGCACTGGATCTGGGATCTGGAACCCCACAGGTGCAGCCGAGGAGCAAACGAATAACTTACATTTGTAAATGATTTTTGAGATGGAGATTATGGAGCCAAAGATGCTGGTCCCAGGCAATCCCCAAGGCTTGGACTGCATCAGCAATCAGACACGAGATCATATGATACAGTGCAGGTTCCCTAGTCACAGTAGGCTGGCCCACTGTCTTCTGCAATTGGAATGGCCTCTCTTCTGCCTGGACATGTTGAGGCTGAAGCCTCCTTGTCAAAGCCAGACAATTTCTCTTCACTACCCACTGCCCTCTGGCTCCTTAGCCTATATATAACATCACCATGGACCTTTAAGTCAAACCTACTCATGAGGCACACTTGGAAAGATACCTGCCATATCTGTCATGGTCAAGGAGCATAGATAGAACACCACAACCCCCAGCCAGGGCGGATCTATGAATAAGCCATGGATGAAAGGCAGAGGGTCCTATGTCTACCCTGTGATCCTCAAAACAGACTGTCCAGGGATCAAGAAAGTGGTGATGAGGCAGAACAGCTCTGAGCAGGCAGGTAGAAAGGGCTTGTAACCGTGGTCCTCAGCAGGCAAGTAGGAAAGTATCTAGGGCCCTGAGCCTGAAATGGAGCAGAGGGGTAAGGGGCCCAGGACCCCTTTAGGCCCCTACTAGGTGTTACGGGGTCTGTTTTCTCATGCCATGCCTCCCCACCTGCCCTGTCCCCTGAGGTTTTGGCTTCGGCAAAAGTTCATCTTCTCCTGGTACAGCCAGTCTGGCTGACAAGCATGTTCTGGGGGAATCACATGAGGATAAGGAGAGAGAGACCTACCAGAAACCACTCAGGGACAGGCATAGGGAGTGGCCTCTGCTCCTCTCTCCTAGCCCCAGCCCTCTGCATAGCTCCAGCTAGGAAATACCTCTCCTACTAGTTGCTCTGCCGGAAGCCAGCAGAGCTTGTCACACATATTCCCAGTCTGCTCCGTAGAAGCACGCTGGGCTGAGGCAAGATGGAACAATGCCTGCAGCTTCCCAGCGCCCAGCCGACTTCTCCATGCTGAGGTGCAGGGTGAGGTGGGAATCTGAGAACACAGGGTCCCAAATCCCACCCATGTGGAGTGACAGGAGGCTGGAGGAGCTCCTATTCCATCTCTGGCCTTGGTACTTGTCTCTGCTGTGAGGGGTCTCTTATGCAACCAAACTCTGGATTTGTGTCCACCATGTTCTGATCTTGTTGCAACAGTCACTGAGAACCTGAGCACCATCCAAGGGCAGAACCCACCTCCCTCTCCTGGAGGGAAGTGCCTGCGCTGGTTTCGTATGAGATTCAGTGGGTGCCGGGAGCCCACAGTCAGACCCTCAGTCATCTCTACCCCAGTCCTGGTCCTCATCTCCCTCCAGAACCACGGGCCACTGTTTCTCACCCTGAGCTCCTCTGCATCTTCAGGGGTAAGGTCCCAGGAGCAACACTGACTCCGGGAAATCCTGAACAAAGCCGTGAAGCCCTTGGTGCCTTCTCAGTGAGCTGGCAGTCAGAACAGACTCAAGCCCCCAGATCCACCACCTAACAACCTCGTTAGCTCCCACTCAGGTGAGAGCAGTGGCCGGGGAGGGGTTGCAAGTACATGGGTTCATGAGTGTGTCTATGTGCGCCCCTGTGTATGCAATGAGTGGGTCTGTGAGTTTATGTGTGTCCGCATTTTGCTGTGTGTATGGATCTCCGTGTGCTTGTGTGTGTGCCTGAGTGTGCACGTGTATGTGTGCCTACATGTGTCTGTGAGCATCTGTGTGCCTGTGGGCGTCTGTGTGTTAAACCCGCAAGTGCACCTGCTTGTGTCTGTGTGTGCATCTTCATGAGCCTGTACAAATGCCTCATGCACTTGCATGTTCGTGATTCTGTTTGTGCACCTGCACATGTGTGTGTGAGTGGGGGGGGGTGTGCCGTCATGTGTCTGTATGAACACAAGCTGCAGCCTAGCTGAGCAGTAAACTGGAGCTGATTTCCGGTGACCATGTGAAGGGTCAACATGTCTGTGTTTTCAAGATCATCATTGTTTCAGAGCTGTGTTCGCCCACCGGCTTCTGTTGGAATGGGGTGGGGGGCATTGAGGCTGGGAGGTTAGTGTTTGTCCCCTGGGCTATCCATGTGTTGCCAGAGGTGGATTTGCCTAGGGGCATGTCTGTCTATGTGGCAGGTGTCTGCTATCGTTGTGAGGCCCTGTGCTTGGTATGTGGACATGTGGCATTGAAGGTGAGCCTAGATGCCCTCTAAGTGAACTTAAGTTTAATATGGGATTTGTGATTAAGCATTAGGCTTGAAGAAACTGGTGTGCTTCTTGGGTGCCTGTCCATGGTGTCTCCAAGTCCAGGACAGGAAACTCTACTAATCCAGGCTCAGCGGTCCTGGTTTCCCAGCACCCTCCAGTCTGTCTCCACCTGTCTGTGTCAGCAACCTAGACCCTGCCTCCCGTCATGTACAGCAACAGATGCTCTTTCAGAGAAAGAAACAGCGGAGAGAGGGAACTATTTGTTCCGTGTGTCTACTGACGAGCTAAAGATCTAAGCAGCCAGCAGATGTGAGTAGCTGGGGCTGCATCCGGGAAAGACCTGGCTTTTCCCAGCTCAGTTCCCTGGCAGATCTCTCAGAAATAGCAGTAGCAATGATGCAGCTATGCAAAAGAAGGGTCTCTATACCCTAGGCCTTGGCTAATAAGACCTGACTGGACCATCGTACCTGACCTTCCAAGATCTTCCCAGACAACCAGGCCTAACCCTGCCTAGACCTACCAAGACCCTTCTGTTGCACCATGCTGGCGATGAACTTGCACTTTTCAACCAGCTCAGGACTGGCACCTACAGAGCCATAGACTTTCCCTGCTCCAAGGATCCGGCAGGTCAGGCAACCTGTGGGGTTCCCTATTCTTAAGAGCATACCTTCCACACATTCTGTGAGTAGATGGTGCAGGGATGGTGTCTGCTATGGCTTGTCCAGGTAGCCAGGGGGAGTCCTACCACAGTCCTGATTGACAGAAGAGTCTGGGGCTTGAGGATAAAATTGTGTCCTGTTCAAAGTCAGCCCAAGAAAAAGGGCAGGGTGTGAGCCCAGCTCCTGTTTTACCACTCTGCAATATCTGTGGTCTCCGGGGGGAAAACTGGACATCAGTGACCCTCCTTGCATACTGGAGCAGCACACTGGGATAGGCTTGAGGCACAAAATTCGTGGGGGAGTAGAGAAGGTACCTGGGAAGTCTTAGGCTCGGCTGAAAAGCCACCCTTCCAGGAACCCATCTCGCACTCTTACTCCAGGGCCACTTCATGGGAGGGAGGACAGAGTAGCTGCTCTGGGAGGATCTGCATGTTGACTCATGTCAGAGGCACCTACAGCACCTCCTCTCTCCTCCAGACTCCGTCCTGAGACTTAGCTCGGGCTCTAGTAGGGGAATACCTTCCCGGGACACCTGGGGACTGCAGGGTAGGTGGAGGTTGGGTTCTGTGCTGGCCACAAGCTGTGTTTCTTAACCGCACTCTAGAGACAGAATGAAAATGGAGACAAGTCTGAAGGCTGACCCTCCTCCACACCTGGTCAAGTGTGTTATTTCTCTGGGAAAAAAGCCAGGGTATCCAGCAAACCGGTGGGCTTTCCTTTGCAGTCGTGTGAGGGTGCATCCAGGACAGCCAAGAAACTAACCACGGAAACAAGCAGAACATTTTCCAGCCACTCCAAGTGAATCGGCTTATTTATGTATTTGCGTTTTTAATCCCTGTGTGTGCATGTTCGTGTGTGTGTGTGTGTGTGTGTGTGTGTGTGTGTGTGCAAGTACATGCATGCCGTGGCACATATGTAAACATCAGAGGACAGCCTCAGATGTCAGTCTTCTCCTTCCACGTTGCTTGAAAGAGGGTTTCCTGTTCACTACTACATACACCAGGCTGGCTCATCTGTGAGCCTCCAGGGAGTCTTCTGTCTCTGCCCTCCCCCCATCTCTCCACAATGCCAGGGTAACAAGTACATCCAGTGTGTCCAGCTTTAGATGAGTCCTGGGGATCCAAACTCAGCTTCTCAAGCTTATGCAACAAGCATTTTGCCCACTGAACCATCTCCCCAGAGCCGAATACATTTATTTTTAAATAAGTGCAAAGGCTCTGACTAAATTCAGCTATGTTTCAGAAGGCCTCGCCTGGGAAGGGTGCCAGGAGATCCCAGCTTCTCTGCAACATAGAAAAGGAAGCATGATTGTCTTTCTAGCAATTCCACCCTCCGCAGGGTCTCTTGGTGCCAGCAGTGCCGAAAGGCAGAGCTGAATCTCATGGGAGCAAACCTTGTGGAGCCACCATGACTTTAGCTAGGCCGGCCCTTCCTACTGACCACACATTCCCTCACATGCCCGCGGGATTCCTTCCTTCTTACTGTTCCTCAAGCCTGGCCACTTGCTCTAAGACAGCCTGAGCCCCTTTTCATGATACTAAGCTGTTCATTCATCCCTGGGCCTAAGGTTACCCCAGCCATGGCCTGTCCCTAACTCAGGGGATGTGGCCTGCACCTGGAAAAGCCAGCCGGGAGTTGGAGAGTGTCCCAGGCTGCCATCCCAAGTGTTATTAGCTACACAGCCAGGCCTCTGAGATTGCCTCACAGTTCCCGGATGGACTTCAGGATAGATGCCATTTGTCTGATATGTGCTGAGCGATTGTCAGCCCCAAGAAACAAGCCTGGATTCTACAACCAATGTGAGCCAAGCTGTATGCAGTGGGGGTAAGGGGCTGTGGCATATGAGGATGAGGGCTCTTCTGTACCCAAGGGAACTCAACTCAGGAGGACCCTGGCCTTTCCCATGCATAATTCTTCTCCCTTTGCTCCCTCAGGTGAAGTCACGGGCCACCATGTCTGCTATGAGCAACAGCTCAGATGTAACTGAGTTCATCCTGATAGGATTTCCGGGCTCCCTGGGGCTCCACCTCAGTCTTCTAGGGCTCTTCCTGCTGGCTTACATGCTGACTGTCACGGAGAACTTGCTCATCATCACTGTGATTCGCACCAGCCCCTCCCTGCACAAGCCTATGTACCTCTTCCTCAGCAACCTGTCCTTCCTAGAGGTGTGGTACATCTCTGTCACAGTGCCCAAGATGCTGCTCAGCCTGGTCTCACCCAAGTTCCAGCGCATCTCCTTCACAGGCTGCATGGCGCAACTGTACTTCTTCTTGGCACTGGCCTGCACCGAGTGTGCCCTCTTGGGTGTCATGGCCTACGACCGTTATGTGGCCATCTGCAACCCGCTTCGCTACCCAACCATCATGAGCCCTGGCCTCTGCAGCCTACTGGCTGGCGGCTCCTGGTTCTCTGGCTTCACCATTTCCCTGGGGAAGGTCTTCTTTATTTCTCGCCTGGGCTACTGCGGCCCCAACATCATGAACCACTTCTTCTGCGACGTGTCCCCACTGCTGAACCTCGCCTGCTCTGATATGTCCGTCGCGGAGCTCGTCGACTTCCTCCTGGCACTGCTCATCCTGTTGGGGCCCCTGGTGTTGACTGTCTTCTCCTACACAGCCATCCTCAGCACGGTGCTACGCATGCCGTCCACTGGTGGCCGGCAGAAGGCCTTCTCCACCTGTGCCTCGCACCTGGCCGTGGTGGTCATCTTCTACTCGGCGTCCCTGTTCATCTATGCCCGGCCACGTGCCATCTACTCCTTCGACTACAACAAGCTCGTGTCGGTTGTCTACACAGTGCTCACACCCCTAATCAATCCCATCATCTACTGCCTTCGGAACCAGGAGGTCAAGCAGGCGCTGCACAAGGTGCTGCAGCAGGCGGCCCAGGTTCTAGGAGCCTCCTCCTAGGAGGAATCACGCGTCTCCAACCCTGAACCTGCTAACCAGGCTCAACAAATGGGCAGACAGATTGGCACACCCTCCCGCAGCCCCCGTCTCCTGCTTATGACTACCTAAGCCAGCTGCCAGAACATGGCTCCCAAGTCCCAAGCCTCTCGGGATCCCTTGCCTGGACCCATGCAAAGGTTGTGCTCATGTGAGAGTTCTTCCCAACCAACCGTGGTCAGCCTATAGCTGCAGCCTCTTCTCAACCTGAGGTTAGCAGAGGAGGCCAGAGCACACAGAGATGTCAGCACGTGGATCTTCTAGCTCTGCAAACCATGCAGGGGCTGCAACGACCAGCAAAAGCTTTGACATCTCCCCGCTCACCAATACAGTTCCAGTGGTATCTGCTGGGAGGTTTGTCTTCCAGCAAAAGAGGCCTCACGTGGTTGCAGGAGGTCACGGGAGAGCAGAAAAAACTGCTTGCGAAACGAAGATAAAGTAGATAGAACTGGAGAGACTGAAAATACTGTAAGAACAGTGTCTCAGCTATCTGATGAGCACCAGCCAGCCTCCAGCTCTGCCAGGGCAGAAAGGGAACCTGGAACCTGCACCTATGGACAAAGACAAAAGGCTAGAGTTGAGGTATGGTACCCTGGAGCCCACAGCCCAACAGACCATAGCACCCACTGCCCTGAAAGAGCTAGGCTGCTGCTACAGAGCACGGGTCTTCAAAAGACCCTGATCCCAGACAGGGTCCAGCCATCAGTGTCCCTGCTGATTACAGACCCGGCTCAAGGGGCTGACCAGGAATCCCAGCACCTCAATTTCTGTTGGGGGAGCCGTTGGTCTGATCTTCTTGAGGGCTAATAGCAATGAAGACTCTAACCCACATCTTTCCTAGAGCTCCAGATTCCCACCAAATGTGCAGGGACTCCAGACAATGGGTACCTTCTAATGCATCGTATTTCTACAGGGAACTTCAGGAGGTTGAGGAATCATGCCACCCTCAGCCCTGCCCTCAGCCCAGCTGTATGTGGGTCAGAAGTTGTGTGACATCCTCTGGGTCTGTTTGTTTTTTTCTGATGCTGATTCTCAGCAGTGGTGGCAAAGCTACAGAAACCTGGAAAGGTCAGCCTGAACTGTAGACACTTGGAAGTCCTGTTACTCTCGAGCCTGTCATAAATCACACAGACATATCAAAGCCTCAACTGACACCTGGGTACTGTGCTCAGCTGTGTAGAACAGGTGTCATGCTGAATGGCTACCAACTCAAAGATTGCAAGCCACGGCTCTCGTCCTGGAGCAGGGAACTCGTGGAGTCACAGACACATGGAGTGTAGACATATGAGAACAGAGTCTTTCAGGTCCTAGGAAGGTGGTCACAACTGCCCTGGAGATGGTACATGGCCCGAGGGTCTGGAGTGCTCTTTGTCTATAAGGAAGATTTTAATAAGAGAAGAAGGAGGGAGGAACAAAGCCCAAAAAATTAGGAGCTCTAGGCAAGTGCTGGCTCAAAGTCCTCTGCTGGTCATGAAAAAGCTGGTGAAAGACCCATCTCTGTATTTCCAGTGGAGAGGTCAGAGCCCAGTCCTTACATATCCAGGTGCAGGAAGCTTGCCCTTCTGGGTGGTAAAAGAGCAGGCATGCTGGGATAGGAGCCTCTAGAAGAAAATTCACAAGCATACACTTTCCAAATATCTGTAAACTAGTCTTCTAAACATGCAGAATAGAAGCTGGCTTGCTGATTCGTCATTTCATCAGAAAAGCATATGTCTAGGTGCTGCCCAACCCCACAGCAACCAGAGAATCAGGCAGCCCACAGCCTGGCTCCAACACTGAATGCCAGGGCCTGTGCCTGCTTTCAGCAGGATCTGCCAGGTTCCAGGACCCTGGTTGGGACAGGTGTTGTTGGGGACAGGTGTTTATGCAGCCATACAACTGAGTGTAGAGGCCCACCAGCCGATGGAGGGGACAAGGCCAATCCCAGAACCAAAAGGCCTAGGGCACAGGCTGAGCAAAGTCTTTGGGCTTCCCAGAGATGATCTAGCCTCTCACTGGATACAGAGTCACCAAGTCACACTGAAAAGAGCAGGGACATGGTCAGGTTTTTATTCTAGAAAAACTCCTGTAAGAAGATGAGAGGAAGGAAGAGGAGAGAAGAGGAGGGAAGGGGAGATAAGGGGAGAGATGGGAAGAGGAAGGGAAGGGAGAGGAGGGGAGAAAGGGAAAGGGAAAGGAGAGGAAGAGAGAGGAGGAAAAATGAGGGGAGGGGAGAGGAGGAAAGGGAAAAGGGAAAGGGGAAGGAAGGGGAGAGGAAAGGGGAAAGGAGAGGAGAAGGAAAGAGAGCAGAGGGGAGGGGAGAAGAGTGGAGAGGAGGGGAGAGGAGAGGAAGAGATGAGCTAGGGAGAGAGCACTGAAGTAAAACAAAACTGGAGACATTCAGAGAGAAGGACGCAGAGGCAGCACCTTCCAGCGCTGGTTGACTGTTGAGAGGGAGTAAAAATTAAATCTATGAGCCAGGCATGGTGATACACACCTTTAATTCCAGCACTCAAGAGGCAGAAGCAGATGAATCTCTATGAGTTCGAGGCTAGCCTAGTCTACAAAGCAATTTCAAGACCAGCTAGGACTACACAATGGAAAGCGGTGGTGAGGAGCCCTGATTGAGGAGATGGTGATCCTTACTCGATCCCTGGAGATTCAGGGAGCAGCTGAAGAAGTAAGGACAGGGGCAGAACAGGCCCTGGGAAGCCAGGGGCTCCTGAAAACAGCATAACTCAGACCCACCCTAGAGCCAGACCCTGGGGCTTCTCTGACTCTCTCCCATCCTAGAATTCATCAGAATCCCAACTGATGATCACCGACGACCACTAATCTCACGCACACTGAAACCCTACCTGGAGCTCACAGCTTCTGGTTGTCCTCAGTTAGTAACACTCCATACCCTGATCCCTTCTGAGCAACCCTCTTCTCTGCCCAAACCACCACTCAGCTGAAAGTCCTGCCCCTCACCAGCCTATTCACCCCCACAACCAGGCCCACCATGTACCATTAGGCTTCTGGCTGTGCATAGGAGAAACTCCATAATTCTTATCCCAGTTTATCCCAGCCCTTCCCTTAAGTTCCCCACATGGGAACCTCACTCACTGGGTATCAGTCTGACCCATCTGCTTCTGTTACCCCCAGCTACCCACACCTGAGGATCCTTCACTTGGATCCCCTCCCACCCGCTTGTTTCCAAATGGCATGACAAGATGCATCCCATAAACCAGCCTGTGAGTGTCAGGTCTCCAAAACTCTCAAAGCCCGTGAGATTCTCTGGAAACACTCATCCTATTCACCTACTATCCAGGACAAATATGCCCAAAAGAAAGCAAATTCCTGTGAGGATGGGGACCTGGGTAGTAGGAGCCCATGATGTAGAAGGAGGAGAGAGACTGGCGAATGGCAGGGGTGGCCGGCTACCATGGAAACTGCTCAGAGAATGGAGGAGCAGCCCTGCTGCCTGGACACATCTAATCAGTTTCTTCTTCATCCCAGAACCTGGCAAGGCCCAGCCCTGACCCAAGTAAACCCCAAAGACAGTAAGCAAGGAGCCAGGATCCTGACTTGGATGGTCCAAACTTCTGAGATCAGAGGAACAGGCCTCAAGTTGTTTCTGCCGCAAGATCCCATCCTTCACCAGGTTCCCAGATATGAGTGGGAGCAGCTTCCAGCAGAATCCCAGAACATGCTTCTCTGAGGAAGCTGGCATCACGCAGTGATGCTGGTGGCTGGGATGCCCTGTGGTCTCATCTCTGATGTCTTCAGCATGAGCTGAGACAAAAGTCCATAACTGGATGGAGTGTGCCAGAGGACATGTGAATAAAACAGAGGTAGAAGCTGGGAGAGAACCTCAAGAACACCTCCATAAGAAAATATAAATCATGTCCTTTACACAGTCAATAGTCAATAGGACACGAAGAAAAGTAGTGAGAGAGAATGAAGAGAGAGGAAGCACATCTCAGAGAAAGACAGCAAAGCCTTGAACACTGAAACCACAAGGACGAAATCTGTAAGGATTTCAGGGATAACTAAGGCAATCACTCCAAAAAGTGTGGAAAACAAACATAAATGTTTTTTAAGGGCAAAAATTTAGCCCAGGAAGTACAGTATCATACCAGGACGGGGGGGATGCACATCCAGAATGTTCAGAGGAAGACAGAGTAGCACAGTTTAACCCTTGCTAGAGGACAGCGGGATGATAATCATCTTAAAAGAGGCCAATGAGAGAAAGTCAGGAAGAACTGGCAGGCTGCAGAACAGGAGAGACTGGAGAGAGGTGACCCTGAAACAACCAGCCCTTGCCAGCCAGGGACCAGGGAAATGTGGCAAACGTCTAGTCCTGTGACTTCATGCTCTAACTGTGCACCTTGATGCTCCAACTAGAGATCCCAAATCGGCCTGGGTCTACAAGTGCTGGATCCTGTTATTTATCCATCTTCCTTCCTAAGGAGGACTACATCGTCTTGTGCGGTGTGCATGAGGCATTTACCAAAATAAAGCAATATAAAGCAAAATAAAGCTGTGAAATAAATCTCAAATCTAAAATAACTAGAAGGAGTTCGTGGTGTGTTTTCTGACAACCACAGAATCAAAAATGTTTTAAAAAATTCAATAAAAGATAAATCTTCTGTATATTTGGAAATAATACACTTCCAAGCAAAGAAGAAATAAAAAGAGATATTAAAATATGGTTTGAGAGTGTAATTAAAAAAAAACATAAAAATTATGAGATGTGAGGCTGAAGAGAAGGTTCAACAGACCAGAAGACCCTGGTTCAAGTCTAGCGCGCGCGCGCGCACACACACACACACACACACACACACACACACACACACACACACAGGCAGCTCACAGACATCTAAAACTCCAATTCCAGGGGATCTGACGCCCTCTTCTGGCCTCCGTAAGTAATGCATGCAGGTGATGCAGACAGACATGCAGGCAAAAGCATCCACACAAATAAAGCAAAAATCAATAAA